CAAGCGGAGCGTCCAGGAGCCATCTGGCTTAGCAGCCTGAGGGGGCCTGTCTTTCTGAACAGCTTCTTTTTTTAGAGGCAGCAAGATGGGGAAAGTAGGCTGGCACACTGCTTTCGCTTGCTGCCAATGTCGGTCCAATCTTGTGCTCAGTGCTGCCCTCTTTCTCCTGGCCATACTGGGCTCCTCTGCCATGCATTTCTGGAGCTGGCTGCCCAGTGCTTGGCTCTGCCCTGGCGCCACAGCTAAGCAAACATGGGAGACATCGTAGGGCTGGGTGAACACCAGCTGCCCTCAAGCCTGGCTGGGGAACTAGAAGTCGGTGGGGGTAAGGGGAGGCAGCGGGCAGGCATCCTTGCTCCCTGTGTCAATCAGCTGGAGGCTGCTCGGTCTGTCCAACAGATGGACTCTGCTCCTGGAAGACTGTAACACAGACCCCGTAACACTACACTTGGCCCCGGCTGTACATCCCCTCCCTCCCCGAGGTGGGGGGCAGGAGGTCAGGGATCAGACATTAGCTGCATCTCAAGGAGGCCTCCACGGAAGAGCTCTGGCTAGACCAGCTGCTTGCGATGTTGGGGAACACGGAGGGGGCTGGGCAGGCTTGACAAGCAGAAGAGGTGGAGGTACTGGCTGGGGACATGAGTGGGACAGTGCGGAATGGTGCACTCTGGTGCTCTCAAGAACAGTGACTATAAGAGCCCATGGCGACTGGGCCGTTCATGTGAAGACGTGCGAAGCCTTTGCAGCTTCGCTGCAGTATTCAGCAACCGGCATGCTACAAATGAAACAAACAAACAAAAACACTGAAAGCCATGGGAGCTGACACATCAGTGACTCTGAATTACTGGTGACTCTGAAGGGCACGTTTACGACTACTGAATCACCTTTGCCAGCCCATTTCTCACCAGCATGGAGGAAGTTCATGCGGGTGCTAGAGATAGCAACAAGGAGCTCTAGACATTTTTGTTTCAACCTATCATGAAGTTACACTTCCTACAGCCTGACAGTTTAAAGAGACAGAGGAAAGGGAAAAATCATGTATGTATGTTCAGCATACAGCCCGATGAGCAAGACCTCAGATGTTTATCTGAAAGGCAGAGACAGAAGATAAGATCTTCCATGTGTTGATTCACTCCCCAAATGGCCGCAACAGCCAGGACTGGGCCAAGCCAAAGACAGGAACTGAAACATCCTCCACATCTCCCACTGCGGGTGGCAGGGGCTCAAGTACCTGGGTCACCTTCTGCTACTTTCCCAGGCACAATTAAAAGGGAGCTGGATAAAAAAATGGAGCAACTGGAATTTGAACCGGTGCTCACATGGGTTAGGTTGCAGCCTAACCCACTGTGCCACAAAGCCGGCCATAAGAATTTAGGTTTGAAAGTCCACGTATCAGCTTTGCCAGATTCTTGCAGATAACGAGTGTGATGAATTCACTTGTCTAACTTCTGTCTCTCCAGAAGAAAAACAGTGAATGACGCCTGACCTTGCAGGGGAGTGGGAGAAGCCACCGGAGGGACAGGCACACAGAGCACACAACGCAGTCCTGCAGCCCCAGCACAGGCCGGGAAGCACTGGCCACTCCCACCTTCCCCCTCCTCCTGCCAGGAAGCTATGGCTAGGGGCACGTGTCCTCTGCACCTGGCTGTGAGGGACAGGAGGTGACCTCCCCGATGGCAAGTTGTCCCAAGGATGGCCCCTCTTGTCCGTCTGTCACTTTATGGAACCAACTGGTACCTCCGGAGGACGAGCGGGCAGCTGCTGTCTCCTAGGTCAAGACATGCAGCTGGCAGCTTATTTGGCAGTCCCAGACCCTGGCAGTTTTCTCACAGAAGGGCAGGATGCACTGTGCCAAGAAGGCTAGGGAGTGTGCTGGGGACGAAGTAAGGACCCAGGCAGCCTCAGCCCGACATGTGCAGGAAGTGGAAGGAACGAGAAAGCTCTCAGACACCTGTGCCCAGAGGCCCGTCAGCAGCCCACCACGAGGCTCCACAGGCACAGTCCTGCAGCAGGATGGGGGCGGGAAAATGCAAATAAAACTGAGAATGTCTTTTTAGAAAAGATTCCCCAGAATGCAACTTACCAGCATATGTCAGCTGGCATCAGGGTGGCTTTGCTTGCCTAAAGGCCATCTGTCAGGTGTCCCTCCATTCCCCGGAAGCCAACCACAAACTAGAACAAGGGGCACAGGCTGTGTGATGGACCTCCCCACGCTGCTTCTGAGCAGTCGCAGGAAGGATTTCCAAGCCCAGGAGAGCCCCCTGAGGCCTCTGGCAGTAGCCACCTCATGTTCTTTTAAACAACACAACTGGTTTCTGAGTCCATCACACCTCAGAAGTCACAGATGTGCAGGGACCAGAGGGTGCGGCCAGGGCTGGCACATCCGATGTAGAGAAGAGAGATTGTGGCTGCAGCCTGGCCACGGGCACACGTCATAAATGGCTGAGCAACCGGAAGAGCTAGAGGGACAGCTGCTGGGGTCCACACAGTGCAGGTGCAAACAGCTGTGCGCATCTTCACAAACCAGAAACAGTTCGTCTGGTCATTCTCTTGGGACAGCACAGGATGTCAGCCATGGCCATGGGTTTTGTCTTGGCCCATGAAACACGAATGGCAGCAACAACTGTGCCTGCTGGGCAGGTGCTGTAGGGCTGGGAGTTCAAGTTGGCCCCATGATGGTGCCCAGCATCGCCTCTGGAATTGCAGCTCCACCAGTCCCTGGCCCCAAGTGAAAGTGAAAATGACTCCAAGCATGGCAGCTGCTGACCCGCAAACAGCGTGGGTGAGAAATGACCTTCTGTTGCTCTGAGATCAATCCATTATCACCCTATGATTCCAGCCACCCTGACCACACTAGTTGGCTTCTTATTACTTTACAGTGTCTGAGAGGAGGTTCCCAGAGAGAGAGAGAGAGATGGCTCATCCTGGCTCACAGCGGGGATTATAGGATCAGGTGGTCCCATGGCGCTGCGTGAGGCAAAGGCTGGTTACAGCGAGTAAGGACACAGGACCAGGATGCCAAGACCACAGCAGGGCACAGCTTGAACTCAAACCATCAAAACCTCCAACCAGATCCACCCTCCAAGGGCATGTCCCTCCAAGGGCATGTCCCCCAGGACCAAAGACCTCCCCCTCAGATGTAATCATTAAATCAAGACAGCTTAATCAATCCTGGAGACATGAGCGTTCCAGCCACTGTATGCTCAACCTATAACCCTGACTGACTCATTCTAGGCTGAATGAGTCCAGTTTGTGTGGAACAAGTTGTGCACGTGTGCACGGGGAGGGATCTTTCTGGTGCACTACCATGTAGAAGCATCAATATCATAAGCTAAGCTTCTGTCTCTGGTGCCAGCCTCCCATACGGGCACCAGTTTGAATCCTGGCTGCCACACTTCCCATCCAGCTCCCTGCTTGTGGCCTGGGAAAGCAGTGGAGGATGACCCAAGTCCTTGGGACCCTGCACCCACATGGGAGACCTGGAGGCAGCTCCGGGCTCTCAGCTTCGGATAGGCTCAGACCTGGCTGTTTGGGGAACAGATGGAAGATTTCTCTCCATCTGTATGTCTCTCCTTCTCTCTAAATCTTTCAAATTAAATAAATCTTTAACCAAAGAGAGAATTTTCTAAAGAAATTAATTTTTATCCAAATAGGATTCTGACCTGCTCTGTCCAATGCAATTAGATCAAGGAATTGCCCAGACGGGAACCCACATATGAGAGCGGAAGCACACGTCTAGGCTGTTCCCTTCCCCTGATGAGGTTCTGGGGCTCCTGTTAGGGGCTCACCAATTCCTCCTGCATTATTTCTGGGGTTACAGCAGAGGCTGGTTCTCACGCTGCCGCTGTTGCTGCCAGCACCGGCGGAACCAGCATAAGGTGGCATCCACACAGGCCGGCCTGGGGCTGGCTCTAGGACTGGAGGGAATCCAGGCCAACATGAGGGCCCACAGACCTTTCTGCCTTTCTGGGAAGGTGAAAGAAGAAAGAGAACAACCTCAGAATAAGGGTTCCCTGCAGGAGTCTGTGGAACAGCTGTTGTTTGAATTCACCCTGGGCTGACAAGTCCTCGTCCCTGGTCAGGAAACAGTTAAGCTGGGCTATCACAACTCCAAGAGAATGAGAGAAATCTTCTGCTTGGAAAGGAGGAGCTGTGCCTTAAAATAACCTGTGGCCGAGGCATCTGCTCAACCCTCCTAAATACTCCTAATGCAGACGCTCATTTTAGAAACGCAGCAACTGAGACTGGCAAGAGAACAGGATTTGCTCCCATTTACCCAGTTAGCAGGGCTGGAGCCAGGCCCCGAGCCTGTCCTGTGAGCTCATTGCTGCCACTGCCCTGCTTGCGTGGAGACACAGGCCCTTCCTAGGTCCACAGCCTCAATGGATGCGCTCGTCAGCTTAAAAGAACCTGCTGCTGGGCCCAGTGTGGTGGCCTAGTAGCTAAAGTCCTCACCTTGCACTTGCCAGGATCCCATATGGGTGCCTGTTTTAGTCCCGTTTTCCATCCAGCTCCCTGTGGCCTGGGACAGCGGTTGAGGATGGCCCAAAGCCTTAGGATACTGCACCCATGTGGGAGTCCCAGAAGAGGTTCCTGGCTCCTGGCTTCAGATCGGCACAGCTCTGGCTGTTGCGGTCACTTGAGGAGTGAATCAGCAGAAGAAAGATCTTTCTCTTTCTCCTCCTCTCTGTATATCTGACTTTCCAATCAAAATGAATAAATCTTTAAAACAAAACAAAAGGACCTGGTGCTGAGAGGTTGGAGATCTCGTCCAAGCTGGCCAGTGGCCCTGAATGTGGCCTTGTGGTGTAGAGACGCACACACGTTCCCCTTTGGCATGCGCCTTTTGCAGGATGCCCTCCCGGGCTGGAGGGGCAGTTCCTGGCCGACCTTCGTGCACCACTCGGAGTCAGGTTCTGGGACAATTTCCTTTCCTCCTGAGGTTTTTCCCCCCCTCAGGGACCCAGGTAGGAACAAAGATGGACAGAAGGAGCGAGCACTTCCAGATGGCTCCCCATTTTGCTTTATTGCAGATTGAACAGAGATTATTCCAGCATTTCATTAGCATTAACATTGTTCTCATCATACATGGGACAGGATGACAGTGAGGTCTGTATCTAGACTTGAATTTGGGGTGAGGATCTCAGAGCCAGGAGGCCAGATGACCCAAGCGTCCACACTCTCATCATGCTGGCAGCTCACGACCTTGGAACTGAGAGGTGACGCTCAGGGGTTCCTGCACCTCTCCCGGCATGTCCTCCACGGTCCAGACTAGCCACACTTCCCCCTTCTTGTGGCAAGGCATTTGCAAGTACTTGTTTAACCCTGATCATAACACCCCCACCTCAAACCACTTGTGTACACAATCTAAGGCTTCTGGAGCTTCCGAGGTAGCCCTGTGTGGGGAGAGCCTGCTGTGGCCCCCTCCTTCCCCACCCTTGGGTTCACGGGGTGAGACTCAGGATTGACAAGGCATTCTGCCCCGCAAGGAGCAAGATCTGCGCATGATCAGAAAAACCTGGTGATGAAGCAGACCTTAGAAAGTGTCCTCAAGCGCTCATCTTTCACCAAGTGGCCCAGGAGGGAGCTGGCTGAGGGTGGGCAAGAGAGGGCGCCAGGCGGGGCTGAGGGCCCCTCCCTCTGGCTTTGGCACTTCTACTGCAGAAACTGCCCTGGTTGGAGCGAAGGGAGCAGGTGCACCGGGCCTAACCTTCTCATTCAGCCTCACGGCACTCAGCTTCTCTCCCACCCCTTCAGGGCTCAGGCCCCCGGGAAGGCAGGTTTGCCAAGCATTCAGTGATTCAAGTCCCGGGTGAGTGTAAGATCGACAAGTCCAAGATCAAAGCATCCCACTAGCCAATCAGCGGTGTGATTACATCCCCTCCATCTGAGAAAAAAGGGGCATGCCGACCACTTCCTGAGGGAGGTGACTGGTGCCCCAGGGCAGCCCCTTACCCTGCAGTGCAACCACAGCTCACGTGACCTGTGACAGATGGTCAGCTGCGCCTACAGGCTGGACAGGTGGTGGGGGGCGCCGGGAGTGAGCCAGGGCCCGACGCCTTCGATGAGACTGTCCCATTGGTCATAGTCCTCTTTTAGGTCTGAAGGGGAGAAAATCAGGAAGGTCAGGTGACAGGTTAACGGTTGAGTCACAGAGTGGTTATTGTGGGTTTTGTGGGTCATCCCTAAGGCGAGGAGCACCCTGGACACCACAAGGACCAGAAACAGTCCTCGTGATGGCGGAAGCATTGATGCCCACAACTGACCCCACGCCTGTACAGATCCCTTACTCAATTCGTGACAACTCAATACTGAAACGAACAGAGAAAGATTCCGGCTAGGGACTGTGCAGGATGTCTCTCACGCATGGCGTCATTGTCACCCCAACTCTATGCACCAAGCCCATGTTCGTTGTATTCTATAGCAGAGGAAACTGAAGCTCAGGCAAGCCACATGACTTGCCCAGGGTCATCACAGTTGGGACATGAGCGAGAAAGAACTTGACCCTGGAGCAGGAAGGCAGAGCAGACACACAGCCTCCTCCAGGGCTAAGTACCCCAGGCGAGGTAAATCCGGCACACTCTTGGCGCAAGGCTTCAGGTGCCATAGCACAGTGGCATCAGCAGGTAGCATGGGCCCCGGGGAGGTGGGGCCTGCTCACATGGTAAGAATGGTCGAGGGGGACTGAGCCCTGGGGCCCAAGGATGTGGGCTGAGGGTGGGGAGCCCTCTCCATCATCTCAGGAGCCCAGGTTGTTTGCCAAGAATTTGGCATGAAATGGGTCCTGGACACGTAGGTGCTGCACGTTCACGCCATCAAAAACGCCTGAGCGGGCTCACGATGCACCACACTCCGCTCGGTGCCAAAAATATGTGTAAGGAAAAAAAAAAAAAAGACAGAAACCTCTGCCTTCCTAGAACTGATGATCTAACAAAGATTCACAGGAAATGACACAGGATGCCAAAAGGGGACAAGATGGGAAAACACATCCCCAGGGGGGACGTGGCAGTGGCGGCTGGGAGAGTACAATGCCTTATAAAGGGTGGCCTCGCTGACAGCATTTTAGCAGAAAGCTGAAGGAGGAGGGAGTGAGGAATACTGCAGGCAGAGGGTACTGCAGTGCAAAGGGCCCGTGGCAGGTATGAGCTGGGACACTGGGAGCCCTGGTGCAGACGGCAAAGTTGACTAAGGCAGCCGGGAGGGTGGTGGGGAGCTGGAGGGTCATGGCACAGGGTGTGACTCAGGCCTGACAAGGAGCGCATGCGAAGAGCAAGACCTGAGCACGATCAGAAAATTCTGGTGATGGTCCAAGCATCCTCAAGGGCTCATCCTCCACCACCCCACACAGGCCTGGTAGTGACGGGAGAGCCTAGCCCTGGACTCAGCACGGCCAGGCTCACTGTGGAGACAATGGCAGTTCTGACAGAGTGTTTGGGGGCACAAACCCGCTATAGGCAATAAGAGAACAGTGAGGGGTGAATTAAAAAATGCTTCAAAGCAGTTCTGCTGCTGCCACCTGGACCAGGGTAAGGGGCGGGCAGGGTTGGGTGCTTGCAGAGCCAGGAGAGAAACAGCAGCATGGAAGGAGCCAGCAGAAAGAGGAGAATGGGAGACCTGGAGTGAAGGGGAAGAGGCAGTTATGATGCCTGCATCCCAGCACCTCTGCTTCCGGTCCAGTTTCCTGCTAACCTACCCTGGGAGGCAGCAGGGAAGGCTCAGGGCCTGGGTTCCTGTCACATGGGGGAGGTGGATGGAGTTCCTGGCATCCAGCATCTGGCTTGGGTGTGGCCAAGCCCTGACTATTGCAGGCATTTGGAGAGTGAACTAGAAGATGGAAGACTTCTCTCTCTTCCTCTCAAAGGCAAAAAGGTAAATGGTCGACCACCCCCAGGAGCCGGCAGAATGCACCTGAGTGTGGGAAACGGGGCTGCCTGAGAGCCAAGCCTGAGCAGGGGATTTACAAGAGAGTACAAGCTGCTGCATGTAAGTGGGAAGCTGCGGTGTCTTTTTCTTTTCTTTTCTTTTCTTTTTTTTTTTGAAAGGCAGAGTTAGAGAAATTTTCCCATCCACTATTTCACTTCCCTAGTGGTCAGGGCCAAGCCAGTCTGAAGTCAGGAGCCCAGAACTCCAGCTGGGTCTCCCACACGTGCAGGGACCTAGGCACTTGAACCATCCTTTGCAACCTTCCCAGGCACATCAGTAGGGTGCTGGATCAGAAGCAGAGAATCTGGGACTCAAACTGGCACTCATATGGGATGCCAGAGTCACAGGCAGCCTAACCCACTTGACCATAACTCTCTCCTTAGGCAGTCTTGAGGGAGTGAGCACCTTCTGTGTGCTCCATGAAGTGGGAGGCAGAGCTGAACAGCTGAGGGGAGAGGCGTCAGGAGCCACAGGAGGGAGGAAAGATGAGAAGTCATCTTTTGAGCCAGCGGGAAGGGGAGGAGGTGGCGGTGGGAGCTGTATGAGGTCCCTGGGGAGGAGGCGCTGGTCCTCTCACCATGGCACCCAGATGTGCTGCTATCTGGGGTCGAAGAAACTTCTGGGAGTGAGAGGCTCAGTCAGGTCACCTGCAGCTGGTGACTGCAGCCTTCTTGTCTTTGTATGATGCTGGCCCGAGAGCTGCGGCTTCTTTCAGGCTCGGTCCTACCTCCCATCACCAGCATTATTCAGACCCTACCACCTGAGCTCTCTGATTGTCACCCCGGCGATCCCATCCATCCCTGCAATGCATGATTGCACCAAACACAGGTCCAGTTAACACTCTCTGGCCTGTGGTTTTTAAAGTAATATTTACATAGAAAATGAGAGGCAGAAATAGAGGAAAGGGGGGGGGATGGAGGGAAGGGAGAGAGGGGTCCTTTTTGCTGGTTCACTTCCCAGGTGCCTGCAACAGTCAGGGCTGGGCCAATCTGAAGCCAGGAGCCTGGTCCTCCATCCAGATCACCCACGTGGCTGGTAGGGACCGAGCATTTGAGACATCGCCTGTTGCCTTCCCAGGATGCATTAGCAGGCAGCTGGATGGCAGGCGGAACAGCCAGGATTTGAACTGGTGTTCTGAGATCTGGGAGTCCAAAGCGGTGGCTGGACGTGCTGCGCCACAACGCCCACCCAGGTGTGTGATTTCTGACATCAGTGGTGACCTTCCAATGGCTTCTTTGCAGCACTTCTATAAATTTAGCCCAAAAACCCAACGATCTCCCCCACCATTCACACACAGTGTTGATGGGTTCGGATTAGCACAGAGGAGGTGGAGTGGAGAGATGCATGTTCCCATGTACAGTGAGAAGACCAAGGCTCACAGAGGCCAACATCACGGCACAATGAGAAAGAGCGGAGTTCTCTATGCCTCCAGTCGAGCATCTGTGCTGTATCCCTGTACCTGTCTCCTTTATGTGGGCTTTGCCTATGCCATCAAATGTCTTAGTTCCAAGATATGTCCCTACAGCCCACTGTGCTGTGGGGGAATCTGAGGAACCCCACACCCCTCAAACAGGTTGGCTGCCCCTGGGACCCTGGTTCTTTCCTTACCAAGGTGCTTCTGCAGGAAGGCCAGCATGGCCCGTACCATGGTCTCCTGGGCCTCGTAGGGATCCAGGCTCCCACGGGTATGACTGGATAGGTATTTGACAAGCAAATTGCCAGTCACAAAAGCAAAGTCGGTCTGACTGTGATGAACAGAACCGCTAGAAGAAAAGAAAAACAAGTGGTAGGGACACAAATTTGCTAGGCACCTGCTGGGTACCAGGGGCTCCTGCAATAGCGCACACATCGATCGTTACACTTGATTCTCACTGCAACTTTGCAAGGGAGGCATCTTCCCCTGTAACAGAACCTGAACAAGCAGTTACCGGCAGTCATGCATTGGGGAAGGGCTGGGTTAGAACCAGGCGAGCAGGCTTCCAGGTGGGCTCCGCCCCTGGGGCACACAGCCTCCTTGCACAGGGCAGAGGCTGAGTCAGCTGCAGTGGGAATAGGGGCCAGAGGGTGAGGGGGCAAAGTCTCTGGGCTCCTGTCATTCCTCTGTCACAATAATCTCTTACCCAGTGGCCATTCTCAGGTGACTTCCCCATAGCCACACGACCCCTGAGCTCTTTCCTCAGAAATGCTCCATGGAATATGCGGGGGTGCTCCTGCTTTCGTACGTGGGAACGTTTCTCTGCTAAGGGCCACAGAGACTTTTAGAACATCATTTGAGGCCACACAAAATGATCAACTTCAAGATCATGCCCTGCCTGTGGTTGCTCCACAGCCCCGGCCTGGATATTTCCCACCCCTTTAGATTGCATTTCGAAAAGTGGGTTCTGGATTAGAACGGAAGACCTCTAACATGACATACATCTAATTCCCAGGTAAAACCCAGCCTGAATTCACTAGTCAATTCAGCAAAGGAGGAAAAAAAATCTAAACATGAAGGTATTTGCCTGATATCATGCAGGAAAACTGATTTTTAACACTTGCATCATTCAAGGGCCCAGAGGAAGGCTGTAGAATAATGAATGCACAGCTGAGTCTGGTGTCCAGGACTCAGCAGAAGCAATGCGTCGCTGCCAGCAGGGGGCACTCTTCTGTGCGCTGCTTTCCCAAGTCTACTATACCCTTGCTCTTCAGAAAAGCCTCCCTAAAATTGCCAAAAGCGGTCAGAGAACTCTGGAACCCACCCAGCCCCAGCCCCTTTCCTCTGCTTTTCCAGAAAACACCAGGTAAATCCTACAGAAGTCACTGCGGGTGGAGCTTAGTAGGCAGGAAGGACAGACGACGTTCTAACGGAATTAAGACTGTACACTCAGGAAGTATTTAGGCATTCTATCAATGGGCAGAAAATTTTGGGCAATTGAGAAGAAACAAAGGGTGTCGCGGCCGAGTGGGAAGCGGAGGGCACCCCGGGACCATAACCTCGGGGCTACTCACAGGACGGTGATGATCCTGGACTGCCCATGCTGGGCACACATCTTCTTCATCAAGTTGATGCTCTCCACCGTCTGGAACTTCTCGGTGTTGATGAAGAACACAGGGCCCCGGGCCTGGGGGTAGAAGTCTCGTTCCAGGGGGAACATCCAAGCATCCAGGGCCACGGCACACCTGGAAAGGGATGAGATCTTGGGGACTGCCACATGGAAATCTGGACGAGGTGGGGGCATGGGGTGGGGGGCTTCGTCCAGCGCTGTACTGCAGGCATGGCAGGTGCATCCAGCAGGAGGCGCCAGGGCCACCACTTCCTGCAGTTAGAATCCCCGGTGGGCGTCACTTCCACCTGCCACCAAAGACCCGCCCGGAATTTGCACTTCTGGAGAGTAGGGATCAGATTTCCTGGTGGATGGACTCTGGAGGCTCACGTGCCTGACCCTGGCTGCATGCCCACCAGGGGCTCAGCCCTAGACTTTGGACGCAGAGATAAATCACACCAGTCCCTGCTCCCAAGGAGCTCCCTAGCCAGCAGGGAAGACACAACAAACAACAGAACAAAACCACATGGCTCAGTGCTCTGAGAATGTGAGATGCTGGGAGCCCACAGCGCAGGTGGTGGGGGAGTCAAGAGCAGAACTCTCCCAGCTGCTGCAAAGCTCCAGCGCAAGGTTTTAGCTCCCCTGTCCCCGGTCTACTCCATCTCAATGCTGGACAATCACTTTCCACTTATTTTTTATAATAGTACCAAGTCCTGCACCCTGAAACACATCCTATCCTCATTCTAACACTTCCCCTTACAAGCCTCCCAGCTCTCAGATCTGTCCTGCTACAGGCCCCACTTCACACAGCAGCCAGAGAGACTTTTAAAATGTGAATAAGACTGATTTTTTTTTTTCTGCTTAAAAATTCTTCAGCAGGAGTCAGCGTGACAGCTCAACTGGCTATTCCTTCAACTGCAGTGGCAGCATCTCATAGGGGCACTGGTTCACGTCCCAGCTGCTCCACTACTCATCCAGCTCCCTGCTTGTGGCCTGGGAAAGCACTGGAGGATGGCCCAAAGCCTTGGGACCCTGCATCCACATGAGAGACCTGGAGGAAGTTCCTGGCTACTGGCTTCAGATTGACTCAGCTCAGCTCTGGCCATTGTGGCTATTTAGATCTGGTGGATGGAAGATCTGTCTGTCCCTCTTTCTCTATGCAAATCTGCCTTTCCAATTTAGGGAAAAAAAACTATTCCGTGATCTCATCACTGTTAGAATAAGACCTATACTATCTGAATCTAGCCAATAGGCTCTGAGAACTGGTTCCGGCTTCTCACCAACTACATCTTCAATCACTCCCCCTCATACCCACTCAGGAGGCTTCTGCTCCACCCCTCTCTCTCCTCCCTCAAGCCTTGGCATGGACTGTGCCCACTAGCAGGAACACCCTGCTCCACAGCGGCGATGGGGAACCATTTTTTCCTCCTGCAATGGCCATGGACATACTGTCACATCATTTGCAGGCCACATAAAATGATGAAGTTAAAAATGAGCCTGTTGGGCCCGGCCCAATGGCGCAGTGGTTAAGGTCCTCGCCTTGCACGCCCGGGATCCCATATGGGCGCCGGTTCTAATCCTGGCAGCCCTGCTTCCCATCCAGCTCCCTGCTTGTGGCCTGGGAAAGCAGTTGAGGATGGCCCAAAGCCTTGGGACCCTGCACCCACGTGGGAGACCCAGAAGAGGCTCCTGGCTTCGGACTAGCATAGCATCGGCCATTGCGCTCACTTGGGGAGTGAATCATCGGACGGAAGATCTTCCTCTCTGTCTCTCCTCTCTGTATATCCGCCTTTCCAATAAAAATAAAATAAATCTTTAAAAAAAAAATGAGCCTGTTGTCTGGATGTATTGAATTCTGAGTTCCACCTGTCACCTGCCTTGGTCTTCCATGGCTTGTTGGCCGGACGCCTCCACCCTTACTCTAGGCCTCCGTGGGGGCTGGCTGCCTTGCTTCTCCAGTCCTGGTTTATGGGGCTTTCTGGGGATACCTCTACATATTCTACCCATCAGCCTGTTTTATTTTCTTCACTGCACCTGGGTGTTGGGATGGCACCTGTGAGCAGCTTCTTCAGCGTGTCTCTTCCCACAAGGACATCACTTGTTTATCACTGCATCCCCAGCACCAAACCCCACAGTGTCTAGAGTGCAGTAGTTGGGCAAAAAACACTTGCCGAAGGAATGAGTGAATGGAGAAGTATGAAGCTAATAGCAACGGCATCACCTGGAAACTCACCGAAACTGAGTCTCCTGGGCTAAAGCCAGGATAGCTGTGGCACCTCCAAATGAATGTCCCATCACAGCCACACGGCTCATGTCGATGCTGCCCTGAGGAGAGTGAATTCAGCCACGTCAGAAACTCGGGACTGCTTTTGCAGGAACTCCCCCAAGGCCAAGGGGGCGAGCCCCAGGAGGCAGCCGGGCAGGCAACCCTGGAGTACAAGTGCAGGTGTCTATGTGCGAAGGGATGGATGTGGACTGTCAGACTCTGTCTACCTTGGCCAGTCCAAAAACCTGTTGATGATAAGGGCCCTCCCCACCTGCCAGAACCCCTGGCCTAGAAACTGGTCCCAGGGGAATGCTACGTGACCACCCTACAGTGGGGGAGAAGGAAGGGGAAGATCCTTTGACACCCCCCCACCCCCCCAAACCGCCTCGGCCAGGGCTGCCTGTACAGAGACCAACTTGAGTCCCACTTCCTCTTTAGGGATCTGTCCTGATTTTTATCTAAAGCACTGGCGAGAAGGGAATATCTGCCTTGTTCTAACATGCAGTATCTATTTTGGAGTGTCCCTGGAAGCCATCAGGACCTGGTTATATAAAAAGCTAAGACAGCTGCCTGCAAAGGGGTTTGGGAATTCTCTCCAGGCGTTGGGGGCCCAGCGGCCGCTCTGGAACCCTGCTGCCCCTGCTCCCCAGTTTTCATTCCAAGGCTTTTTACTCCAAGCTTCCTGATTGCCCCGGGACCTTGCGAGTCACAAGTTGGCTGCATGGCCCCTTCTGCTGTCACCTATTTGTACACCTCTAAAATCAGAAGTACCCACAAATCTCCTGTCTTCTCCTTTGTCTACCATCATCGCCCATGACCCAAACAGGCCGCAGTTCCTCCCGTGTCTTCCTAGAGGCGGCTTCTGCGTATTCAGGGAAACTTGTACTTGTCTTTGTGCATGTGACACTTAGTCACATACTTCCCCTGTATGCAGATGTGATATTGCAGCTTACTTTCTTTGTACATAACAATGCTAGTACCTTAAGTCCTTGTTTTCATCCTGTGGTCATGACAACAGCGATCACCAGATGCAGAGCCAGACTAGTTCCCCGGGAGGCTAATGTGGCCTGGCAACCGAGTTCCAGCCAACTCAGTGTGGGCAAAAATGTGCTGCCTCCACAACCAGGGCGGTCCATAAAGTCCCTGGTACCAGCTCATGCTGCTGTTCGCTCCACTGGCTCAGTGTAGACCATGAACTTAAGATGCCCCCAGTGAAGAAGGGACAGGATTGCAAGAGGAAAGGAAGCTGGACTCCTGAAATTACCACCCCGCCCCCTGCAAAGGCGTGCCCAGTGGGCCACTTACTGATCCACAGCTTATCAAACCGATCTTCCTGGTGGGCATTTGGGTTACTCTCACTCTTGCTATTACCAACAAGATTGGAAGGCATCATCTTGTACACACGTCATGCTGCATGAGTGCAGGAATCACAGGATCGCTTCCCGGAACTGGAAGTTGCTGGGTCAAAGATGTACAGTAGGGACCAGAGCCATGGCATAGTAAGCCAAGCTCCCACATGTGGTACCAGCATCCCGCGTGTGGTGGTATGAATATGTGCATGTTTATCACAGAAAGCCATCGCCACAGTAACTCCCACGGGTGGGACAATGTGCACTCCTCACTAGCAACGGGGGTACACCACACTGTCCTACAGCTTTGTCAACTGCCTAAATGTTAAAACTTTCTGGTCTTAATCTGTTAGGGAAAACTAATTCAGCTTTTTCCATTCTGTGTTTCCCACCAGAGACAGTCTCTTCATGAAGCTGGCTGGACTGGAGTCTGCCTTGCCCAGGGCCTGTGTCAGGCTCGTGGGCGAAGAGACCAGAGCTCTGGGCACAGGGCCCCTGTGTGACCCATGGGGCTGGCCAAGCACCCAGATCCCAGTTCCTGCCTCACCACTGGCCACCGGGCAGTTGCTTCTCCCTTGAGGACATCCTAACCTTTCACGGAGACTTTTCTAAAGGGGCTGCGGGGCACACAGCATAGCATAGGGTTTAAGGTAAGTTAGCCCCAGTTGAAGGTCTGGTTCTATCATTTAGCTCAGTAATCTGGGTAGTTGCTTAGCTTTTTGATAGTTGGTTTCTTTCCGTGGAAAGAGGTCAGAGCACTTATTTCATATTCTGAGTGAGGAACTCTTATTATAAATATTCATGTGTGGCAATTTTCTTAACAGTGAACAGAAAGTTTGTAGGAAAATGTGTTATGAAAAAATGATGCATGGATTTCAAAAATGTTTGCACCATTTCCCATGAACTTCTTAGAGTACCCTCAGCATGTACCACTGTTACTCAATGGTAATGAAATTGACTACATGGGTATTAAGCATGCCATAGGCAAGTGGTAACTGAAAGAGCACATACTCAAACTATTTTGTTAAATGAGAAAGCAGCTACAAGACATCTTGTATTAAATAACACTATTGTTTTTGTTTTTTAAAATATACACCTATTTGATGCAGTAGGTTAAGCTGCTGCCTGCCATGCTTGCATCCCTTATTAAGTGTTGGTTCTAGCTACTCTACTTCTGATCCAGCTCCCTGCTAATGTGCCTGGGAAAGCAGAGAATGACAAGTGCTTGGGCTCCTGTGCCCGTGAGAGAGGCCTGGATAAATCTCTTAGCTCCTGGCCATTTCATGAGTGAACCAGCAAATAGAAAATCTCTCTGTTTTTCTATGTAACTCTGCCTTTCAAATAAATAAACAAATATTTTTTATTAAAGGTTCAGTAATTTTTGTTGGAAAGGCAGATTTACTGAGAGAAGGAGAGACAGAGAGGAAGATCTTCCATCTTCTGGTTCACTTCCCAAATGGGCGCAATGGCCAGAAGCCACGCCAATCCTAAACCAGGAGCCAGGAGCTTCTTTCAGGTCTCCCATGCATAAAGGGTCCCAAGGCTTTTCATCATCCAGTGCTTTTCCAGGCCACAAGCAATAAAGTGGATGGGAAATGAATAGCAGGGACATGAACTGGCATTCGTATGTGATCCCAGTGCTTACAAGCAGAGAATTAGCCACTTGAACCATTGCACCAGCCCCTAAAAAAATAAATCTTTATAATATATATAAATGAAATTTAAATCTAAATAAACAGATACACATAATACATGTTAATTCATTTTAAAATAACTAGAAGAACAAACATCAAGATGTTTGAAAAAAAGTTTCTTTTTTCTGCATGCTTTTGTGTGATTTCCTGGTTCTCTGAATAGAGACTGAATTGTTTTTGAAATCAGAGGGGAAAAAAATGATTTGACAGGGATGGGGCTGCAGAATGTACCGTCTCCTCTCAGTTCCACAGTCAGGCTGGTTTCAAATCCTCATCAGACTCCTGGGAGGCTTCCTGGGGTTCTCTCACAGCAAGGGGCAGACTGAAGCAAACACAGGTTGTTGCTTGGGCCTTCCCTTTGGGGGACAAACCATCTCTCCCCTACCATGTGACCCAGGTGATCAGATGAGACTGACAATCCCACCTTCAGGTTTCTCTGACCTCCTCCAAGTGCCCTGCTGAACCGTATAAACACACACACTCACACACACAGACACACACACACACACACACAGACAGACAGACACACACACACGCACACACAGACACACGCACACACACAGAAGTCAAGGAGAGCAGCTTCTCCCTCCAGCACAATGAGTTCTGGCATAGGAATCCATGAAGGGCCACAGCCTTCCCAGACCAGCGGAAGCTCAGAGAGGCTCCTTTCTTTTGAAATCTGTACCTGTGAGTGGAGACAGGCCTGGGGACTGCCAGCAACCATCTTTTTTAGGTAATGCAGAAGAGGCTGATGAGAACGAGGCCCACAGACAGAGAAACTGAGCAGGAAAAGGGAGAGAAGAGCGTGTCTGAGACCTTGGATCCAGCTATACCGGCCTAAAGCTGGACTTCGATCTTCCTAGTCACGAGCCACTAAGTTCTTGCTTAGTTTAACCTAATTAGTGGGGTTTCCACTATTCTCAACCGAGAAAAGTCCCAACGAGTGTATGAACTCAGAGTCATGCAGCTGCCACCTCACCTTCAACATCTTCAGGTCCAAACCCCCGGGTAGGATGTTGTCAACAGTCTGGCCGGCCGCTGCCTCCCGCAGGACTCTCAGCACACGCACACACTCCCTCGCCCGTTGATGCACCTGCAGGAGAAACAGGTCCTGAGGGAGTTGGAACATTCCACAAGCAACCAGCAAGAATTCCACTCAGCCACTGAGCCACACAGGGAGGTAGTGGTGGCTTGCTGCATTTCAGCAGGCAACACATGCCCTGTGTCCTGAGAGAGCCCAGCTACCTGGTAGCTCACAGAGCCACTGCCTCACTGCACATGGAGTCATCCCTGTTGCCCAGACTCCACCTATCTACCAAAAGGGTTGTCAGCAGAATAAAATGAATTGCTATATACAAAAACATTTTGAAAACAAACAGAATTAAGTGTTTTTATTATCCACCCGGCACTGGAGTCAGTGCACCTATTTATAACACACATTTTGTCTGTTGGGCACTTAGCTGCTGCCCCCTTACTGTCTTGCAAGGATTGCCCCAGGCTCCAGATGCAATCATGAGTTTCTGACGGGAATTTCCCCTCAATTCTCTCCCTAGGCAGGGAATCCCTTCCTAGGATTTTTTATACTGCAATTGAGTGCAGGGGTGAGGCCTGAGGGGAGCAGCTCCCCTAGTCCTATTGTCTAATGAACGTGCTAACCATGTACACTTGGCTACCAGGAGAGTCCTAACCTCAGCAAGCAAGCCCACTGAGAGGCAGAGGTGAGAACTGAAAGCAGGATTGGATGGTATGCGCACAGCCAACTTCTAGCAGTTGGCCCCTTTCTTCCCGAGCAAGCTTAAGCTGGGCTACTGCCACTCGTAATTTTATGAATATCCCGTTGATTGCCACTGATGCAGCAATTCACACCTTGTGACTGAGATCTCAGGAGGTAAGATCAGCTCCAAGTCTAGCTTAATCACTGAGTCAGGCACAAAGAGGGCAGGCTCGTTCACTCCCTCCCAAGCTGGCCTGAGCCTACCTACCTGTGGATTCCGAACATGGAACTCCTTCTCCCCTTGCTCAATGCGGCGGAAGGGGATCCATTCCTCTTCCAAAGACTTGGTGGTGGTTTGGTGCTCCTCAGGGGTCTGCTTACAGAAATAGGTGGTCGCAGCCGACTGGTCCCTGAAACACACACAGGCATCAGGGAGGAAGCCGGAGCTTCTCTTAATGCTCTTTCTCACCAACTCTTCCCTTTCAGCCACGAAACTGGGGATCCCCTTGAGCTAGAAAGGTAAAACATCTAGGGCAGAAGATCCCAGGATTTTGGAGACTGAATTTGGTGTGCACCCCAAATCTTTGAACTTTGATTTGTTTTCTCCTCTTTAAAATAGATAGGATAAGTGCTTTGAGGGGCAGTGGCAAGATGAGAAATGCTACAAGGACAGGGGACTGGCCGTCACCTCAGCTCACCGCAGGCCCTGGGGCCTGGACAGCTCGTCAGGACTGCTATCCCTCACCTGTGCTCTGGCAAAGCAACCACGAAGCCACGGGAGGCCAGTTCCATGCAGAAAGCTGAATACAATGTCCTAGAGATTCCAGAAAGAACAAGGAAAAAGGCATCAAAGATTGGCCCGGGCTTTGCCCCTAGGGTGCTGTGTCAGTGGCGGCCCCCTCCTCAGACTGAACGGAGTTTTTAGCCACCTCCAGGTGTCCTCTCAAACTGGCACTGACCATCTCTCACCAACGCTGCTATGTGTAACCTGGTCACAGTCTTTTCCGATGCCACCAAGGGTCAGTCCAGCACCTTCCCCCGATAAACCTGGGTTGCCTGGGCTCCATTTGTGTTGCCTGAACAGTCTACGTTTGCCGAGTTTTCTGGTGAAGGTCCTTGTGGATGGTGCTCACAGGGGGTCATACAGGATCATCCCTAAACACACTGGGCATTTCTCCAATGGGTGACTCTTCTGTGATGAAATTTTTCCTTGAGAGGCAGACAGAGACACCCATTACCTGGCTCTTCCCCTAAACTGCCTGCAACAGACCTGGTTAGGCCAGATCACGGTAGGAGCCAGGAGATGAATCCAGGTCTCCCACAAAGGTAGCAGGAACCCATACATTTGAGCCATCACCTGCTGCCAGCAGGGTTATGGGTCAGAAGGAAGCTAAACTGGGAGCAGAGCTGGAATTTGAACTCGAGCACTCTAACTCGGTGGCATCTTATTTGCTGCACCAAATGCCTGCCCTTTCATCTGTGACTTAGCAGGTGGATTTCTTGTGCGTCCTCCAACTTTCCTGAAGGAAATGGAATAAGGCTGATGGTGTTGATGGCCTGTTCCAAACACCTTTAAACCAGGTAAAACTTTCCTCTGAAATAACAGACCCTGATTCTTGGCTGATGATGCTGTCACAGCTACATCTCTCCAGCCTCCTCGACAGCCTTATTTGCCTGTGTGGTATTCAACAGAAACATAATAATTCAAAAACTTGAGTGAATTTTAAGATGTCATGTCAATTTATATTAAAATTTTTAAAAAGGGAGACAAGTGCTCTGGTATATCAGGCTAAGTCTCTGCCTATGTTGCCAGCACCCCAGTTTGAGTCCTAGGTACTCCACTACCTGTCCAGATCCCTGCTTATGACCTAAGGAAACAGTGGAGGTTGGCCCAAGTTCTTGGGTCCCTACACCCACGTGGAAGATTTGGAAGAAATTCCTGGCTCTTGACTTTGGATCAGCTCAATTCTGGCCATTGTGACCATCTGGGGAGTGATACAGTGGATGAAAGATGTTTCTGTCTCTCCTTCTCTATGTAAATTTGCCCTTCCAATAAAAAGAAATTAAAAAAAAATTTTTTTTAAGTGAAGTAAACTTTAACATTCTATTTAGGGCCCGGCGCGGTGGCGCAAGTGGTTAAGGTCCTCGCCTTGCACGCCCAGGATCCCAAATGGGTGCCGGTTCTAATCCCTGCGGGCCTGCTTCCCATCCAGCTCCCTGCTTGTGGCCTGGGAAAGCAGTTGAGGACGGCCCAAAGCTTTGGGACCCTACACCCGTGCGGGAGACCTGGGAGACCTGGAAGAGGCTCCTGGCTTCGGATCGGCATAGCATTGACCATTGCGCTCACTTGGGGAGTGAATCATCAGACAGAAGATCTTCCTCTCTGTCTCTTCTTTCTCTGTATATCTGCCTTTCCAATAAAAACAAATAACTCTTTTAAAAAAGAAGAAAAAAAAAAAAAAGAAAAAAAAAGGTCCCGGGAACCCAGATGATTGGGCCCCTGGCTCTGGCGCTTGGCTTCAGCCAGAGGCCTATTGGAAGCATTTGGGAAGCAAACTAGCAAACCAGAGTTGTGTGTTCTGCCTTCAAGTAATTAATCACATATGTAAAACAAAACAAAACCAAAACGGACAATGTTCCCTTCTTTTTTTTTTTAAAGATTTATTTATTTTTATTGGGAAGGCAGATATACAGAGAGAGGAGAAACAGAGAGGAAGGTCTTTCGTCCAATGATTCACTCCCCAAGCGGCCTCAATGGCTGAAGCTGAGCCAATCCGAAGCCAGGAGCTTCCTCCGGGTCTCCCACGTGGATGCAGGGTCCTAAATATTTGGGACCATCTTCAACTCCTTTCCCAGGCCATAGCAGGAGGCATGATGGGAAGTAGAGCAGCTGGGACACAAACTTGGGTCCACATGGGATGCTAGCACTCACAGGTAGAGTATTAGCCAACTGAGTCATCATGCCAGTCCTGGTGCTTTTTTTTTTTTCTTTGTTTGTTTTTGTTTTTTAAAGACACATTTATTTAAAGAAGAGCTGAGAAAATAATGTTGCCAACCATCTGTTTGCCTCCCCACGTCCACTGTGCACTGTGGACTGTAGCCTACATTCCGGCTCCTCTAGCTGAGGCGACATCCCTGATGTGTTTATCTCCAATGCCAAGAGGCTGGTAGAAAGCAGGTGCACAGCAAATGTCTGCGGATAGCAATGAACAAAACACAACTCTCATGCTCATTCAATATGAGGAGACTTTGGTTTGAGAAAAATGGGGTTAAAAGGTAAGTTTACAATCTGGTGCAAATGTCTTTGAAATCCATGCATAGTTTTTTTCATAATATGCATTGTCCAAGAACTTTCTGAAATTCTCTTACATTTCCTGTAAAAACGCCATCTGTTGGCACTGTCCTAGGCTACGGAAGACAGACACAGTCTCTGCCTTCATGGAGCTCGCAATGTAGTGGGGAAGACAGGCAAGCACAGTTACAAGGGGCCGGCGCTGAGCTGCAGTGGGTTAAGCAGCCACTTGGGATGCTGACATTCCCATCTCAGAGTATCAGTTAGTCCCGGGGCTCTGCTTGCAACCCGGCTTCTTGCTCATGCACCTGAGCAAGCAGCAGACGATGGCCCAAGTACTGGAGCCCTTGCCATCCACATGGAAGATGTAGATAGAGCTCCTGGCTCCTGGCTTGGCCATGGCTCAGTCCTGGCTGTCACAGGCATCTGTAGAGTGAAGCAGCAGATGGAAAATCTCTAGCTCTCCCTCTCTGTTGCTTTGCTTCTCAAACATTTAAAAAAAAAAAAAATATATATATATATACTAAAAAAATACACACTAGAAATAAAACAAAATCTGGATTTGTCTCAGAGCATGACATAATTATCTAGGTCAATGAAACTGTTGGAGAAAATGGAGGTTTGGGAGAAATTTATTCAAATACAGTATTTTTCCCTAGGAATATATTATACTTGATTTTTAAATTTTGACCTTCTACATATTCTTTCTGCTATGTAAACTTATCTAAATAAAATAAAAACAAATGCCATTTAGTCTGAAAAAAATTACACCAATAATGAGTCCAATACTGAGAAATGCAGGATGTCTCATACTGGGTACATACCTGGAAAACTTAAACTAATATAAGGATCTGTTGGGCGTCTCTAAGAAAGTAACATCCAAATTAAGAGCTTGAAGGTAATTTGGAATTACCAGACAAAAGAAGGAGAGTAGGGAGGAGAGGAGAAAGCAACTGTTCCAGGCAGCAAAGAAACAGCCACCAAGCAGAGAGAGAGACTCACAAGGCAGGCCCTGTGTTCTAAGTAGGTGAAAGAAGTGAGCAAAGATCAGTTTGTCCAGACTGCTGGAAGTGGGCGTGCAGTGAGCAGTGAGGCTGGAGACATTGTCCAAGAAGAAAACTAAATGAAGTGCAAGGAGCTGTTAAAGTGTTCTGGTAGGGTGTCGTAGCAGAGCAGGGTAAGTGGATGCCTGAGAGGACAGTATTCCATGCTGGGGTGCCAGTGCCAGTCCTGGCTACTTGGCTTCTGAGCCCCTGGGAGGCAGCAGATGATGGCTAAAGCACATTGCTCCTGTCATCCATGCGGGACACCAGAACAGAGTTCCCAGCTTCTGGCTTCTGCTTATCCAGCCCCAGCTGGCCACTGTGGGAGTAAACCAGTGGATGGAAGATCTATTTTTCTGTTACTCTGCCTTCAAAATAATTTTTCTTAATTAGGAGCGGGATATTCATTCATTGAATCAACAAATGCTTACTGAGTGCTTATGATATATAGGCATTGTTCTAGGTGCTAGAATGATGAGGTCATATTTGGTTTAAAGACAGATCTCCCTGGCGTACAGTGTGCACAATGGTTGGGGGCAAAGATATCGCCTGCCAGGTGAGGAAATCTTGGTTTCAGCCGGGTACCAGTGTTATGGGTGGGATTCGGGCAGTCATCTCTCTGGGGGTATGACTCGCTGTACATCAGTGCTACACCCAGAGCAGTCCCCCAGCATACATCAACTGTCCAGCTCAAGCTCCTTCTAGTACTTCCGGGTGTGACACAGGTAAAGAGTTTACACACATGTGCTGGAACATGTGAAGCAAGGACTGTGAAGGCCGCCGAAGGCCCCTCTGGGTGACAGGGCTGACAGGGGTCAGGGAAAGGTGCTCTAGAGATGGTGAAGAACTGAGACCATGGGAAGGAGCAGATGCGATGGCAGCCGCTGGCAGGTCCTGCCCTCGGAGAGGTTAACACTTGGCGACAAGGAAGGTGGCAAGTATGGCGGGGGGCTGCTCTTACCTGAAACCTCCCATGCCGTGGGAGAAGATGATCAGGGGATATCCAGTGTCCTTTGTCTTAAAGGGCCCATTCCAGCTAACAGGTAGGCGATAAGATCCTAACAGAGACATGGGCTGTAGAATGTCTGGCTGTCCTGACGTCATTACCCCAGGCAGCGTGGACACAGGCATGGGTGGGAACTCAGGTGCTTTTCCCTTTCGGAGAGCCTCATTTATCCCCAGGGCTGGTGTACCTATTTCCCAACCTCCATCCAAGGGAGAGTGAAGACAACAGGGACAGGAAGACACAGCCAAAGGGCCAATACTGAATGCTCAGGGGCAAATCAGGGGCAAATAACTCCCTGGGTGCCGAGCTTCTAACCGAGGGGCTTTTGGCAGAAGACAGCAGGACTGGATGGAGAGCTGCAGGAGACTGCAGGCTCCTTGGCTTTGATTTACATAATAGCTGTGCAGGGTGGGAGTTAACACCACGTGGGGAATAAACAAGTTAACAGCCACAACACCACATGGGGAATAAACAAGTTAACAGCCACGAATAATGGAAGATACTCTGTGTCCCAAACACTGCCCTGTGGGCTCCACATGCAACCCAGACAGGCAGCTCTGCAAAGTGTTCACACAGGCTAAGTAACTTACAACGGCCACCCAGCTGGCAGATTACAAAGTCTGGATCTGAGCCCAGGAGGAGCTAATTCTCTCTCCACTACACCCATTACAAAGGTGGACCCTGCAAGCTTTCAGGTACCATGGGGGCTTGGAAATGGCTGGGGGCGGGGCTGGTCCTCACCCACAGCCAGGCTGAACAACATTCCCCCCCAGCGCTTGTTGAACCGCAGGTAATCAGCCAGGCCCGTGTAGTACTCATAGCGGGGAATCCATAGGGGTTGCTCTACAGTGGCCTCCGCCTCTTGGCAGGGGTAGAAGATTCGAAAGAAGGTTCCCTGTAGGAAAGAGGAGAGCAAGAAGCTAAGCACTGTGTGATTCCCCAGCAGACGCCCCCTGGGCAGGTGCATGGGGCACTAGCAAAGCGGGGCAAAAGTACAAGCAAACGCACACTACACTAATGTACTGAGCCTTCTTCACCTTGAGGAAACCCAGAGAGAAGCAAACTTTTTTTGAGCATACATGTTAGGCTTACGTGCTTTCAGTCCACGGTATTTTCAACTACAATAATCTGAGTGTTTGAAACATTTAAAAGTTTTAAATCTGGCCACGAACCCAGGCTTGGAGGAGCCCAAGAGTCATAGACCCAGCTCTCAAGCTTGTATGAGGTGGCACTGGTGGGAGTGGCGAGCCCCTCTGGCAGGCTGGCCGGCCTTGGAAGCGGCAGCACACCCACAGTTCACAGGGAGTAGGTGAAGGGTTCCCAGATGGTGTGTGCCTCCTGTAATGAGGACAGGGCTGGCACAGAGAGGCCTAGATTGGCAGAGGTGAGAGCAGGAGGGAACAGGTGGAGCCAGCAGAGGGACAAGAAAGACCACTGCCTATTTGCCCAGGTCAGGAAGACAAGGGCATGGGCCCAGGGCTCCTCCTATCACGCCCTGCGAGCAGGGCACAGTTAGATCCCTTCCTAGGGCCAGGCATCTGCCCCCCAGACAGGCAAATGCACACACCTGTGGGCTGTCTGGGAGGCGAGAACCCTCTCACCTCCGCCTCCTGGGATAGTTCTCCTATTTAGGAAAGAAGAAAACAGTTTGAGCAGACAGTCCTGGGGGTGCCAGAAGGCAATCTAGACAGCTCTGATTTGGTTTCCTGCCCCTGGAATCACACAGCCAGAGCTGCAGCAAGCATTGCACCATGCAGGCAAAAGCTGTGGACATGCTGGTGGCGCTGGGGACACTTACCTGGAGACCCTGACCCTCCATCACATCGCCGCAGCCTACCGGGTGGGGGCCTGTGACCTGGGGAAAGCACACGGACTGGCTGGCCCCCATCTCGTCACCAGCTGACTCCGACGACTCGGGCAGTGCTGAGCTGGGTAGCTGGGAGGAGGAACACAGAGCAGTCTTTTGTTGGCTTCCGGCTTACACAGGCTATCAGCCACCCCCGTTCACCTCCTTATCAGGCCATCCTCCCTGCCAACCGTGCACCAAATCTTGCACCTCATCTACTCTGACTTTACCAAAGTGAGGGCTGCTTTTTTTTTTCGGTAGTTGGAGGAGTTAGAACTGCAAACCTCCCAAGGAGTGTTTATTCAGCACTTTGTTCTGTGCCCTGCAAGCACTAAGTGCTGTGGAGACCACAGCGGCCTCTATGAGGTTCACAATAAACATGAAGATCCCTTACTGACCCCAAGACACCGGACAAGCTCTGTGCAGGCACCCACCTCACTGACCTCTCTCTACAGCTCTCCGAGACAGGCACTGAGAAGGCCTTGTTGTAGCGAAGAGGAACTAGGGTCTAGAGAGCTTGGCTCATTTCCCCCAGTGACCCAACCTGTCTAATCCAGAAGCTAACTTCTAAACCATGATGGGTCTGCACGTGGCAGACACAGGCTGCACACAAGTACGAAGTCACCAGCCCAAACCTGTGCTGAGCCTCGGATGATGAGGACGCTCAGAGGGGCCAGGGAGGCAGGGAGGATGCTAGGCAAGACATCATGGAAGAGCACAAAAGGGCAGAGATGGGGAAGAGATGGTGTGGACAGCCAATGGCAACAAAGGCTTTGGTGTGACAGTGTGCGGGCTTCTAAGGCCACAGCGTGCCAGAACTTGGCTCCTTCCTACACTGGGGCCAAAGGTATCACCTCCCGCCCCTCTTCAGCTTCCTTGGCACCGTCTCACCCCCACCATCATGATACACACGTCTTTGTGTGTATCATACCATTTTTTACCCTTACCAAAATCACTGAGATATGTAATATCATCTCATGTTGCACGCGAGAAAACTCAAGCTTGAAAAAGCCGGGTCATCTGACCCACCGCAGGCAGCTGGCAGAGCCAGGCCTCGCACGACGGCAGGTGGCTATTTCATGGAGGAAGAGCTCCACCATCCCGCGATCCACTGCCTCAGGATTTGGCTGGGGCCAACTGCTTCCCGTTTTGAGGATCGAGTCTTAATTAATGCAAGCCAATTATTCCTGACCACTCTGTGGTGGAAGAGGGCGGCACATGGCGTTAAATGGGTCCTGTCTGGCTGAGGGGAGCAAGTTCTCCCTTGTGTTGAGCAAAAGTGATGTTCAGATGTCACCTGCCAAGTGGCCGTGAACTGGGTAACCACTTTGGACCAGGGGGACGAGCCTTTCTCTCAAGGTGAGGGGCAGAGAATGGACAACCACAGAGGAGCCACCTGTGTGGAGTGAGACTCCCTGGATCAGGCCGCATCTGAAACCCAGACTTTCTCTCTGCTTTAGAGAAACTTACTTATTGAAAAGACACAGTAACAGAGAGAGAGGAAAACAAAAAAAAAGACAGAGAACATCATCTTCCATCTGCTGCTTCCCTCCCCAAATGCCTACTGAAGCCCGGGGCCAAGGACTCCAGCGAGGTCTCCCACATGAACGGAAAGGGTCCAAGTACTTGCGCTGTCTTCAGCTGCTTTCCCACGCATATTAGCATGGAGCAAGATCAGTGAGGACTTGAACCACGCACAACAGCCAAGACTTGAACTGACAGGAGTTGCTGGTGTCGCAAGCAGCGGTTGAATCTGCTGTGTCACAATACTGGGCTTTAGACTTACTTGTTTAAACCATTTGGATGCAGATTTCTGTTATTTGCCCCAAAAGTATCGAACTGAATCCACCAACTCCCAGGCCAAGTGTTAATTAGATTATTTTGCTTCCTTTAATATGCTCCAGGAGGGATTGGCAAGGCCAAATCAAAGCCTATCTGGGGCCTGGCATGATAGTGTAATGGTTAAAGTACTTGCCTTGAATGCACCAGGACCCATATGGTCGCTGGTTCGTATCCTGGCAGCCCTGCTTCCCATCCAGCTCCCTGCTTATGCCCTGGGAAAGCAGTGGAGGACGGCCCAAAGCTTTGGGACCCTGCACCCGCATGGGAGACCCGGAAGAGGTTCCTGGCTCCTGGGCTTTGGATTGGCTCAGCTCCAGCCGTTGCAGCTGCTTGGGGAGTGAATCATCCTATGGAAGATCTTCCTCTCTGTCTCTCCTCTTCTCTGTATATCTGCCTTTCCAATAAAAATAAATAAATCTTAAAAAAAAAAAAAGCCTGTCTGGGCAAGCAGAGACCTTTCTGGCATTGCACCCGGCAATCAACCACAAACCAGCACCCACATGGGATGCTGCTGCCACAGTGCAGGGGACCAGCCCACTGAGCCACTGCAGGAGCCCCCAAATACATAATCTGAAAAAAAATCTTTTCTTTCCATGTAAATTTAATTTCTTAATTTTTGCTTCTCTTCTCTGAAGCAGATTTGAAAATAAACTGCCGGTCTCAGTTCATGGTCTTGCTCTTCTTGTGGTGGAGGAAGTACGCGGGGACCACCTGTGGCTGGGGTCACAAGACTCGTGCCACCCACATGACAGTGCAGCGGCAGCACGCCCTGGCTGTCAGGACAGATAAGCCAAAGATAATCAGATAAAAGGTCGGACAAAGAGTGCTCCTCCCCCGCAGGGGCCGAGGCCAGGGGAAGGAAGGGGTGGCGGCTCTTCAGGTAGAGGCTCACAGTGCTGGGGGTGCCAGGGGAGAAAGGCTGTGACTCTCTGCAGAAGGGGACAGTTCTGCAAGCGCGAGGCTGAGGGGCTAGATCAGGGACACGAGGTGGCAGGTACGAGGGACCCACCACGGAGGCCCAGCCCCTCCACAGCCTCACAGCCCCACCTGGATGGGGCTGGGGACACTTGCACATTCTTGTGGGGCTGGAACAGGGACAGGGTGAAGTGACACCTTCAAAGCACCTAGTCGGGGGAAGGGGAGGGGAGTTCACACAGCAGTTAAGATGCCATCCAGACAGGGAGGTCCAGAAGAAGCTCCTGGCTCCTGGCTTTGGGTCAGATCAGTTCAGCTTCAGCTGCTGTGGCCACTTGGGGAGTGAACCAGCAGATGGAGGATCTTTCTGTCTCTCCTTCTCTTTGTAAATCTGATTTATCTTTCCAATAAAAATAACTAAATCTTTTTTTTTTAAGATTTGTTTATTTATTGGAAAGGCAGATATACAGACAGGAGGAGAGACAGAGAGGAAGATCTTCTGTCCGATGATTCACTCCCCAAGTGAGCACAACAGCTGATGCTATGCCAATCCGAAGCCAGGATCCAGGAACTTCTTCCGGGTCTCCCATGCGGGTGCAGGGTCCCAAAGCTTTGGGCCGTCCTCCACTGCTTTCCCAGGGCACAAGCAGGGAGCTGGATGGGAAGTGGAGCGGCCGGGATTAGAACCGGCACCCAAATGGGATCCCAGCATGTTCAAGGCGAGGACTTTAGCCGCTAGGCCATGCTGCCGGGCCCAAAATAAATAAATCTTTAAAAAAATAATAAAAAGCTGCCACCCAGAGATTCCCTGTTACAGTGTCTGGCGTCCCCGCCGGTGCACCCAATCCCAGCTTCCTGCTAATGCGGTAGACCACAGGTGACGGTGACGTGATTGGGTCCCTACTACCCATGATGATTCCCTCTCTTCGGCCAGGCCCCGTGCTAGCCAGCAGGCATTTGAAAATCAGTCTACAGGGCCTGGCACTGTGGCCTAGTGGCTAAAGTCCTCGTCTTGAATGTGCCGGGATCCCATATGGGCACCGGTTCTAATCCCGGCAGTTGAGTGAATCATCGGAAGGAAGATCTTCCTCTGTGTCTCTCCTCTCTGTATATCCGCCTTTCCAATAAAAAAAAAAAAAAAGTCTTTAAAAAAAAACGAATCTGCCTTTCCAATAAAAATAAACAAATCTTTTTTTAAAAAATGTACAAGTATATTCTAGAACCTCCACTTCCAGAGGCCAATCAGGTTTCTAGATTTATTTGAGGGGGTTGAAAGCAAGAGAGAAAGAAAATGGGAACCTCCACCTACTGGCTCACTCCTCAAAAATGGCCAGAGCTGGCCAGGCCAAAGCCAAATGAAGGAACACATAACGAGTCCCTACTCTGTGAGGAAAACAAGCAGAGAGAGATGCTGGCCTGCGGCGAGGACAGTGGCCAGTGTCACCCCGGGAGTAGGTCCGGACAGGTAAGACATCAGTGCGTACAAGGCTAGCTTGTGTTCATGGGATAAATGAAATCTTGAGCTCAGCGATATGTAGGGCACCAAGTGAAATCCTCCTCCTGTAAGGGGTGGCCTGGCACACGGGGCACACTCATACCACACATGGACATCGTGTGAATAAGAGCTTCCAAGCGCAGAGGTGCGTCGATTTGGCTTATCAGAAACACCTGGGTTTCAGAAAGCCTTATAGGGTACAAGCGTATGGCCTCACGGTCAGGACACCACTGTTCCATGTGGGAATGCCTGGGCTCATCGCTCAGCTCAGGGGCCAGCACTGTGGTGCAGTGAATTAAGTCACCGCTTACAACATTTGTAGCACCGACATCCCACGTTGTATAACTGCTTGGTCCTAACTGCGCAACTTCCAACTCAACCCCCCACTAACGTTCCTGGGAAGACAGCTGAAGACGGCCCAAAAAAGTACACAGGTTCTTGATACCCGAGTAGGAGATCTGGACGGAGTTCCAGATTCCTGGCTTCAGCCTGGCCTAGCCCTCGGGTGACTGTGGCCACGTGGGGTATGCATCAGCAGATGTAATATCTGTCTCTCCCTCTCTGTCACTCTGCCCTCCAAATAAAAAGCAATGGTGGCGGCCCAGATGGCTGAGTTCCTGCTACACCCACAAGGACTCTCAGCTCCCAGCTCCGGCCTGGCCGGGCTCATCCACCTACAAGCAGCTGAGCAGCGGACCATAGATGGACATTTGTTTCATTCTCTCTTTCTTTTTCTTTTTTGTTTTTGTTTTTAATTTTTATTTGAAATAATTAAAGAGGAGGGCCTAGCTGCTCCTTTTCTCATCCAGCTCCCTGTTTGTGGCCTGGCAGTAGAGCATGGCCCAAAGCCTTAGGACCCTGCATTTGTGTGGGTGACCTGGAGGAAGCTCCTGCTCTTGGCTTCAAATAAGCTTATCTCCGGGCGTTGTAGCCAGTTAAGGAGTGAAGCATCAGATGGAAGACCTTTCTCTCTGCGTGTTCTTCTCTCTGCATATTTGCCTTTACAATAAAAACAAATAAATCTGGGCATGGCGTGATAGTGTAGTGGTTAAAGTCCTCAGCTTGAACACACCAGGATCCCATATGGGTGTTGGCTCTAATCCTGGCAGCCCCGCTTCCCATCCAGCCCCGTGCTTGTGGCCTGGGAAAGCAACTGAGATGGCCCAAAGCTTTGGGACCCTGCATCCGCATGGGAGACCCAGAAGAAGTCTGGCTTCGGATTGGCTCATCTCCAGCCATTGTAGCTGCTTGGGGAGTGAATCATCGGATGGAAGATCTTCCTCTCTGTCTCTCCTCCTGTCTGTATATCAGCCTTTCCAATAAAAATAAATAAATCTTTAAAAGTAAATAAATCAATAAATCCTAAAAACTAACTATATCATCTATTAAATATAAAATGGGGACAGTTCATAATAAGAAATTTAAGTAAGAAAACTGTTATTGTTGGGGTTGTATGGCATAGCAGGTAAAGCCAACTGCCTGTGCTGCCCACATCTATATGGGTAACAAATGTGAATCGTGGCTACTCCACTTATAATCCAGCTTCCTGCTAATGCACCTGGGAAAGCAGCAGAAAATGGCTCAAGTGCTTGGGCCTCTGCACCCACATGGAGACTGGAAGAAGCTCCTGGCTCCTGGCATTGTACCAGCCCAGCTCTGGTCATTCCGGTCATTTGGGGAGTGAACCAGCAGATGAAAGATTCCTCTCTCTGTGCAATTCTGCCTTTCAAATAAATAGATTAAAAACAAAAACAAAAACAAGAACACTGTTATCTCCTGAAGCCAGGTACATTTTACACCCTGGTGAACTGGCAGGGACTCGGGAACCTTGTTATGCCCATCTTCCATTTTTGCTGGATTAAAGTGGATTCTTTTTTTGCTAGGCTTCCTGGGCATCAGACACCTCACCCCATGCCAGAGAGTCTATGGTGCTGGCCCAGAACAGGCCAAAGGGAACAAGGGAGGTCGCTGTTCTTGTCCTGCTGAGGCCCTGCTGTCGGTGGGCAGGGCTTGTCCTTCTGGCAGCCTGTGGAATTTCATCTCTGGCCACTCCGGGCTACAGGCCAGGATCAGCATTGGGCCGGTTCTTGTGCTCAGACAAGGCCCTCTGGGGACTCTAAGCTGCTGGCTCTAACCTTCGGTGCCTGCAGGAAGGGATGTGTCACCCTGCTCCAGAGTACTTGCAGCCACCAAAGGCTCCAGGGACAGACTGGGTGGCCACATGGCCACAGGAGGGGCGCAGCCCTGAAAACCGTGGCCCAGAGAGTTAATAAGGCAGGAGACGTCCTGTCTGTCGCTTTTGGAGGTTGTGCAATTCTTTATTTGTGAAGATTTGTTTTTCTATTTATCTGAAAGGCAGCCACAGAGATAGGAGAAACAGAGATCTCCCACCTGCTGGCTCACTCTCCAAATGGCAGCAGCAGCCAGGGCTCAGCCGGGAGCCTGGAACTCCCTTGGGGTCTCCCCTGTGGGCCATCTCCCACTGCTTTCCCAGGCACATGTGCAGGGATCCAGACTGCAAGTGGAACAGCTGGGATTCATGCCTGTACACAGTTAACCAGCTGGGCTATACCACCAGCCGGGCCTCACAGCTGCAAAGCCCTTTCACCCGTATTTGCTTTATTGGCTCTACCACACAAACTTTGCCACATCACTGAAGTGCATTTCCAATTTCTCCATGAAGAAGCAAAGTCCTCCAAAGTGGCAGAGTGTGAGGGGCAGGGAGGGCTGGATTAGAACGGTGCCAGTGGATTGGGAAGACGAAAAGGGGACCTTGTCCATCAGCAGGAAATACCAGGACAGCCAGAGAAACTGCAAGGCACACGCTGCACAGGTCTACTGAATTTAGGGGTTGGGGCGCCCTTAGCTGCCAGCGGTAATGCTCCTACCCTCTATGCCTGGTTCAATTCCTGCCTGGCTTCCAATCCAGCTCCCTGCCATAGCGCTCTGAGGAAGCAGCAGATGACGGCTCAGTTATTCAGGCCCTGCCACCCACGGGGGAGACCTGGATGGGGTTCGTGCTCCTGACTGCAAGCCTGCCCCAGCCCAGGCGGTTGCAGCCAGCTGGAGGGTCAACCAACGGATGGAAGATCTCGTTTCTCCCCCTCTCTGCGTTTTCTCAAATATAACAAATCGCTAAAGCAGCAGCAGCCCGACGTCAGGGAGGCGAGGCTCCCCCAGGCTCCGGGACGTGGGAGACGCTGCGGGACCGACTGGGGCGGGATTCCGGGGCCCGGGAGAGAGCAAAGAGGCTCCAGGGAGTGGCAGGACACTGGAGGTGTGTAAGAGACAGAGGAGACGAAGATGAAAGATCGTTGTGCAGTTCCTGAGGTGACTGACGCGAGGGAGCCCCACACCAGGCAACGTCAGAACAAAGCTGACAGTTACAGCTCAGAGAAGCTTTCTCCACACCAACTTACCCGGTCCAAGAGATTCCTCAGAAGTAATCCCAGGCGTTTAACTCGACCGAAAGGAGAAACCGCCCAAGAACCTGTGATCCTTAGGTAGTTGTAGTTTTCAGGATTCAACATGGGCGTTTGAAAACATTGCTCGCGTTTCTGGCTGGAACTACAACTCCCGCAGTGCCCCGCGTGAGATGGAGCAGTACAGGTTGAACTACAGTTCCCAGAGTTCCACGCGACCCCGTCCGTTGAATGAGTGACCAAGGCACAGGATGCGGTGCGATTCCTCCCCCTGGTGGCCTCAGCCTCAATCGCTACCGTGACAGGCGCCAGCGGAGGGTTCCTGCTTAGAGTTATGCGACGTTACGTTGAAGATCAGTAACCTTCCGCCTCACCGGCCCTTGAATAGTTCCCAGGCGTGCCTGGAAACACGAGTTTCCGTTTATTCTCGCGATGTGGGGAAGAGGGCCCGCATGGTGGGCGTCCCGCTATCGGGCAGTTGGAGCGGAGGACTCGTGGCCTACCTGCCTGCAACCTCTTGCACACCTGTGATATTCCATTGTGCTTTAATAGTCAATTCCTTGGCCCAGGGCTGGGAGGAAGCTGAGATCGGCTGGGCCACGCGTCCTACCCGCGCCCTGGCCGTTCACCCCTACTTTACTTCCCAGTGCTGACTCTTAGGGAGTGTGCTGGTGACCAGGGTGTCGTCCTTGGCCCCAGCTGGGTTCAGTATAGCGGAGGGCTGGACAAGCGAATGGTAACAGCTTCAGTGGGAGACTCCCAGCAAGCGCAGGGAGCCTGGGAAAGGAAGGTGGGAGAGTGAGCCTGGAGAGTAAGACTTCGCTGAGGAAGCTGTATTACCACCCAGGCCCCAGGGAAAGGACCTAGCAGAGAGTACGGGCAGTGGGAGCTCTTCTTCCTTTACAGCTTCTCCAATGCCCTCCTCTGCTTCCCTGACCCCTCCCGTCCTCAAGGGCCTCTGCTGGGACCTGTCTGTGTGCTTCTCCCTGGAACCTCCACCCCACGCCCTTGTGGCACCTGCTAGGTGGAGGTTTTAACTCCCCCAAACCAGGCGCACCCGAATTTTCTGTGCATGTTCTCACTTTTCCAACCCCTCCCAAACCCCAGGGGTCCAGAGCCCTTTAGACGTCTTGAGGCCCACCTGTCTGTATGTCTGCCTTTGCCATTCTTCCAGGAGCCAATATAAAGTCATCAGGAGAGAGTGAGGGTGGCACCACATTGGAATTAAGCCCTGGATTTAATTAAGGCTGTAGTTGGGGGTGGTGGGCGCAGCATATTAAAAGCTGAGTGCAGATCAGAGACAGCCTCCCTTGAGCTCATTCATTGAGTCTGTGCAGCTGTCCTGGAACCCTTGGGGCACGCCCAAGTCTCCTGCCAGGTCAGGGACAGCTGGAGCCATTCCTTCCCATCTTCTGCTCTGAGGCCAGACCATGCTGCAGCCAGAGAGACAGAGAGGGAGAGAGAGAGAGAGGAGAGAATCTTCCAAATGCTTACAAAAGCCAAGGCTGGACCACGTGGAAGCCAGGAGCCAGGAACTCTGCCTGGATCTCCCACATGGGCAGCAGGGACCCAAGGATGTGGGCCATGTTCTGGTGCCTTCCCAGACATGTAGCAGGAAGCTGGAGCAGATGTCAAGCTAGTTGTGGGGCAACGCCCACCTGCCCTGCTTTATCTTCTTTGTCTGTCAATGTTAGGCAGATTTTCCTTGAACCCAAACTCTCCTCGGGCAAAATAAAGCTGCTGAATTACATTTCCTTTTTAATTTCAATTTTATTTGCTTGAAAAGCAAGAGAGACAAAGACAGTGATCTTCCACCTGCTAGTTCACTCCCCCGTCATACACCTGCAACAGCCAGGGCTGGGCCACGCCAAAGCCAGCAGCCTGGAACTCAGTCCTGGTCTCCCACATAGGTGGCAGGGACCCAAGGACTCGAGCCATCACCTGGTGTGTCTCAGTGTGTGCATTAGTAGGAAGCTGGAATAGGAAAATAATCTTTTCTGTGACGAACAACGTGAACCTTTAGGTTTTCAGCAACCCACTGATTTTTCCAGCCTTTTCATCACAGATCTTGTCCTCCAACACTCCAAGGTTGCCGCTAAGTCATATACCATGGCGACCGTGGTTCACTTTTCTTGCTAAGTTAATTTATGCTGGTATTTGGGTGACTAGCTTTAGGTTTTCTGTTCTTCCCTCTACCTGCCAAAGTTGGTAGAGAATCGTTTTTAGTCAAAGTGTAAAAGGTATACAATAAAGTGCACTAATCTGAAATATACAGCTTAGCTTGTTAAAAACATTTGTTGTAACCATCCCCCAGCTCAAAGTACAGAAATGTCTCCCGTGTTCCCTGGCACGATGCCTCCTTGGTGTGAAGTCAATCCCCGCCTCCTCCCCCGGAGGGAACTGCCACTTTCTGTCTGTCATCATCAACTAGTTTTGGGGGAACCCCATTTTCGTAACCTCTGATAGTGATGTTTTATGCTAAGCCATCCATCAACAGGTGACACTGGTGTTGATGTCACTGCACTGAAGAGTGCCAGGAACATACCTGTAATTCAACCAGTGTCTTGCCTTACTGCTCAGCACAGTACAGGAAAGGCGGGTGCCCAGGAAGGAAACCTGGTGACCCTTCGTAGGCACATCATACAGACGATGATCTGGGAGGAGGGAGGACGAACCCAGGGTTCAGGCTGATGTTAGGAAAAATAGAGGAGGCCTCACGTTAGCCAGACCAGGAGGATGACTGGCCTTTTCTGTGGCTGGAGCAAGGATGATGTCTCCATTCAGACAGCATGGGATGGCCCATCACTGTCAGAGTGCCCTTGCATGCCCTGTCATTCTGGGAACTGATTTCCATTCAGTGTGAGGCCACTGGGGCCAACGAAATGCCAGGCAGAGTCTAGAGGACACAGCTGCCTCTTGCTTTCTTACTGATGGGGTGCGACACAGTGGCAGGGAGCTAGAGTCAGGAGATGGAGCCGGGAACTGAAGCCAGACATTCCGATGAGGGATGCAGCCATCTTAACCACCGTCTCTTGGCGTGGGGTAGGGAATCCCAAGGAGAACTTCGCTGGGCAACAACGAGCTCCTTGTCTTGCTTTCTCCTGCCCTCACCTCTGCTACTTGGAATCACCTCCCACATGTTGTGCTGGCATCCCAGCCGGGGTTGGCTGAGGAGGCTACAAGCTAAGACAGAACCCAAGTGTCTCATCCAAGGTCACCCACCCAAGTGGCTGACCAGGTCCCCATGGATCACATTCCCACAGTGCTACTGCCCCTCGTACCTGGGAACTCAAAGACAGAGCCCTTGATGATTAGCCAGCCTCTGGAGCCCAAACTACCCTGATCCCACCGATCTTCATCCTTGGCCACCCATGTACCCACCTTTGCCCACATGCCCCCCACTGTGTTTACATGTGTTGGATTACTTATGTTAAACCCATGTGGCCAAGACCCTATCTACTTCACTCCGTACCTGCTGCCATGCTGCAGCTGATAGGCTACTAACCCCTGTGCTCAGGTGTTGGGCACATACCATCTCACTCAACTAGCATTGAGAGAGAGGTCAGGGGCAAGAAGTGGAGGTCAACTACAGCAGGCAGCTTCTAGTCAATGACAACCCCCAGGGCAAGGGGAAAGCAGGCCCACTGCATTGCTTCCTGGCCTTGGTGCCAAGGACAGGAGCAAGCCCCTGTAAGGCTGTTTCTGTCTCCTGCTGTCAGGCCTAACTCTAGTGTTGGGAGGATGCCCTGCAAGGCAGCCAATCCCTAGAGGGATCTGTGGAGTCCAGAAAAAGGAGGCCAGGTGGGGGCAAAGGACAGGATGAGGGCATTACTATCTGGCTCCCCCTGCCTGCCCCTCCCTCCACCCTGCCCACCCGGGACCGGTGAGAGTTTTGCCTCAGCAAGCTCCTGCTTCCCAGAATCTCTCATCAAAAATGCTTCTCGGAGGCTGGGCCAGTTCAGGAATGCCCAGAGGCCAAGGCGGGCCTGAATTTCCACTTTCCATCTCCTCTTTCCTGGCTCCCAGCCTGGTTATCATCCAGCCATCACACATCGTCAGATGAATGCTTGCCAGTTACAGAGCACTGGCTGACCTGGTGAGCACCGCGCTGTGGTTTGCTTAGGGGAAATGGATGTGCAATGGAGTAGGCTGGGATAAAAGTAGCCCTTACCCCTGCTTGAAGTCCCTCTAGGGGCTAGCGCTGTGGCACCATGGGTAAAATGACAGCTCGTAATGGTAACATCCCATATTCATCAGAGGGCTGCTTCGAGTCCCCAAAACTCCATTTTTTAAGAGACTTATTTATTTATATTGCAAAGTCAGATATATACAGAGAGGAGGAGAGACTGAGAGGAAGATCTTCCGTCCGATGGTTCACTCCCCAAGTGGCTGCAACGGCCGGAGCTGAGTCAGTTGGAAGTCAGAAGCCCAGAGCTTCTTCCGGGTCTCCCACATGGGTGGAGGGTCCCAAGGCTTTGGACCATCCTTGACTTTTCTCAGGCCACAAGCAGCAAGTAGATGGGAAGTAGGAATTAGAACTGGTATCCATCTGGGATCCTGGCACGTTCAGGGACTTTAGCCTCTAGGCCACCGCGCTGGGCCCACAACTCCATTTTTAATCCAGCTTGCTGCTAATGTGGGAAAACAACAGAAGATGGCCCAAGTGCTTGGGCCCCTGCATCCACTCCAACCTGGATGGAGTTCCTGGCTGCTTAATTTAGATCTGGACCATGGCAGCCATTTGAGGAGTAAGCCAGCAGATGGCAGATCTCTCTCTTGCACACTCTTTCTTTATCTCTCCCTCTCTTTCTCTATAACTCTGTGTGAGGAGTTAGACTGGGTAGTAGACAGGGCATTCTGGGTTCCCGAGAAAATTCCATAAGCACAGGTCTGCAGGGGCTCAGCTTTTGCAGAGGTTTAATCATGAAAGAAAGAATGGCAGTTGCCATCCAGCAGGCAGAAGGGATCAAGACTCCTGGAAGCCCAGCTTCCCCCTGCTGCCCCCAGACCTGCTCTCTGCCACTGCTCACTCTGCCCAGAGGCAATGCTGGGGAGAGGCAGAGGAGATGTGAATTTTCCTGCCTGGGCTTGGAAAAGCACACCTTCAATCACCTA